TAATTGCAATAAAATGCAAATATGGAACATTATCGAAATCATAATGGGTTAAATTATATGTCCCTAAGTTTAATCATGACTTATATTTTAAGCTATACCCACAAAATAATGTAGTATATTTTTAGAAAATCACGTGGTTACCTACTACCCTTACGATGTTTTGTTTCAAATATAATTTACATGCATATACATATATAATTGAAAGTGTTTTTTATACTTTAAAATTCTGGCAAGAGTCACTAAAATTTAGATAAGACAGTCGTTGTACTCTTTAATTTATTGACTTATCATTACTGTCAATAATTTATTAGTATGTATTACTATGTTGTAATAGATTAATTCAATCAGAAATTTGAATACTCGGGAAATAGCCAAATCAAATATCATATTATATTTCCATATGTACTATTCTTATATTAAAAAAAATTATGTAGTAGAATTGTTATGTTACACAATATTAGTTAATTTGTGAAATATATGGGGATTTAAATAATCTTAATTAAAATTACGCCTACTTTGAGTAGGTAGCAGTACATTTTATTATTTTAAACAATTATGTTAAATGTTTTATAAGTATTAACTTACTTAAGTGAAATGTATAAATCTTAATTTTCTCTATACAAAATAAATACAATGCCATAAGATTGATATCTCAATTAGTTTCAATATAAGCACTGACCTATCAGTTAACACGAGTTATTTAATAGTTATAGTTATATTATAATGCATGTGTATTCGTAAATAAATAATATATTTGTTGTGACTAAAAAATAAAACCAACAATTTTATTGAGTATGTATATTTGGACTACTAACGAGATTATGGTCATCATCGGGTCTTATAAAAATTATACCTACTCTTACACTATTAAAATACTTAATTTGAAAATAATTTATTTTGAGTTTGAAATATAATATTAGTATAAGTTCTATAATTTAAGTCTATAATTATAACTATGTTTTCCATGATAATTATTTCATTATTATCACTTCTTGTTAATCTACTAATTATTATAATGTATCTATAAATTGCCGTTTGGCGTTAAATAAATAAATAAATAATAATATAATATAGTATACCTACATGTAATCCAACTTTTAAAACATTATTGTTAAGATGGATTTTAAATGCATTGTTTTCACTGTTTCCAGTTTACAACTTGTCTCTTAATGGATATATAATATTATTTTCATAAATTTCAATTGTTCTTTTCATAACTGACAATGTTAGATAAAATAGATTGCATATTATAATGCAAAAACACTTATTGTTATTAAATAACTTGACATAAACAAAAACAAATTTTATTGTTAAACATATAATATAATATAAGTCATGGTAGAACATAAATACATAATATAGTTAAATAAGTTGTATATATTAATTTTAGTTTTATCTCATCAAAAGCTTTTTTTTTAATTAATTTTTTTTGTTACTTATTTTATTTTACTCTGAACCGATATCTAGTAAGAAAATAACTTTTTTTTACAGTTTATAATTATTTTATGAAATAAAGTACTTAATTTAAATTATTATTGACCATTATCAATATTATTAGTTTTGTTTGAAGTTTTGAATTTTAAACAGTTTTACTGTTTACAATATTAATTCACGTATAAATATTATGTGAAGATTGTTGGGCTCAACAAATGTTTTTTAAAACCAGAATATAGAAAAAATTATTATGTTGTAAAGTTCAAATTATTGTTTGATTTAATTTCCTAGGAAAAATGTATTAAAACCATGGAGGGCAATTATGATTGACTTCGATATTGATAATGGACAATGGATATATTATGTCGATAACGATAAATTAAAAATTTACATTAAGTCTCTGGTATCTTTTATGACAAAAACCTTAATATAATTTTTTACCATTTTGATGTTATAAAGAAAAGAAAAATTTATAATTTTTCAGATGGTATAAATCTAGGTCTACAGAAATATTAAAATAGACATGTGTTGCGTATGTTTTCCAATCAATATTAATATAATAATTAATCAACCATATATTCATACAAAACTGTATGACAGAATAATACTAATACTATGTAGTATTGCAGTGTACTCGTGTTCATTGATATTGACTATTAAACGTAATGTATTTTGTACATTTTTAATTTTAATTGTAATGTATTGTATTTTTTATTGACTATTAAATATGTAATTTTTTTCCATTTTTGTCATATTAATATATTACACATATTATGCTGGGTATTTTACAATGACTTACGATTTTAAATAATAATAATTCCTAAACATTTTAAACTAGTTATGGTATACCGTATAATAGGCTTAGGAGATCACATTAATATTAAGTAGGTACAATAGGTACATATTACTTAGCCATACATTAATTTATGATGTATAATATTACATTCCATAGAAATTATAAAATGTTTAGTTATTTACATTTGGAACTGCATAAATAATTCTTAGTAGGTATCCTTTTATCTACTTATCATTGTATTATATGTTTGAAAATTCAATTTTAGATGTTTTAACTGCATGAGACTCGGTAGATTTAAAGCGTGGAATGTTTAAATTTGCCTGTCTTATGAACATTAAACGATTCTATGTAGTATCATCAAAATACTTCATACCGACAATAGTCAAGGCTGCAAAATGTCCTTTTAAGATGAAAAGTTTCGTGTCTTATAAGATTAAAGAAGTTTAAAAAATAATATGAACATAAGAGACTCGAGTTTATTCATTCACCGGAAGTAATTTTAGAAAATGATCCTTTAGGAGGTACCCGTTGCATTAAAACGAATAACGATATTTTAAATTAAAGTTGTAGAAGTGTAACGTTATTTGTTTATTTTGTAAATACTTTACTCATAATTAAGTATGGTTTTTGTCGTATATATCTGCATAACGAAGTGTTGCAGTTCGTAAGACAAACAGTTTTGCAAAAAACATGCTAACTTGATTAAGAGTAAAAGTTACAGAGAGACACGTACGATGAAGCTGAGAACTTTTTTTTGTAATTTTGAGTGTACAACATACCTAAATTTAAGAGGTTCAAACTTAAGAGTACTGATTTTCGTGTTAGTAAAATTTTTTCAAACTATAATTTAGGACCGAATATGAGGTCAAAATACTTGTACATCTTAAAATATTCAAAATCTCTCTCCTTATCCATACATATTGAGTAATTATTTTCAAACACCAAACACCAATAGTCCAAAATTCGTTCTTTCATAAAAAAAAAAGTTATATCATTGATTTCAAAAAGTATAGTTGTAAGTATAATTGCTAAAATATACTATTAGTTATGATTAAAAAAAAAGTAAATAATGTAATTTAACTTTGAATTGGATACGAAATCAACGAAGTTTACAAAATTATTTTGAGTACTTATTATTTAATTTATCTCACTAGTATGTTTTGGTTTATATTCTACTTTTTTCTTACAGTAATTTCGATATTGTGTATTAAAATGTATTACATACAATTTTAGATATTAGTAGTTACCTATTGTGGTATATATTTTGTTTATAAATTATTAAGTTATTTGTAAATTTTGAATGTGTCGATACAATTATTTAAATAGTGGGGTAAGAATGAATTCTCAAAAACGTGTAGTAAATTTACATATTTAAAATTAAATAGATTATGAGTATGGAGAACTTTAACTTTATTAGTTCTCTCGTTCCGTCGATTTTGTAGGCGAGTAAAAACTTGGCAAGTGAAATATTAAAATTAAATTTTAACTTAAAATCTTTATAATTTTTTTAGAGTTGTATTATGAAATACTTATGAGGAAACTTGTATTACATTTTCAAGAATTTTGACAGATTGAAAATTTTTAATTGATATTCAAAGAAAAAAAACCAAATAACCAAAAATTGTCAATGTCAAATATCTATAAATAACTTGAAAAATAGATACTGGCAATATTTCTTCAAATTATATAGGTATATATACTATATAGTTAAATAATCTGTTATTTATTTTTGTTAAATTTCAACAATTTGCATTTATATCAAACGAATTGAAGCACGTTTAATGAATAATATTTATATTTAATTTCGAAATTTAAAAATAAAATAGCGATTGAATTCATTGTGTCATAGTGGATAAATATTTGAGCTTAGTTACATTTATTACCAACAAGGTTAATGATTACTGAAAAATAACGATAACAATTAAGTAGGTATTAAACAATTAACATATGGCCTTGGAAAAAGAACATCAATAATTATTTTGTATTTTAACTTAATGTTGGGAAAACTTTATCATACAATTTTGCTTCTAGTACTGGAATTACCCTGCTTTCCCCTACAAGTCATACTGCAAGGACGGGCGTATGGTTTGAGTGAATATTGTCAATGCGTTAGCGTGGCTCCTAATTAAATTCGTTGTTGAGAAGACAACGTACCCGTATGTGTTGTTTCAGCCTTATTAACGAATAACATACCTACCTAAATATAAGGTCAGCTGTTCTAATTTTGTGTTTTAAGCTTTAACATAGTAAATTTATCTGCTACGAAACTTAAAGGGTAAGAGCATAATCAATGTTCTTTGATGGGTTTTTTATAACGATAGTTTAAGTTTTAAGCATTTGTAATTATTAATATTTTACATAATCAAAACTTGGTTAAAAATTTAAACATCGTGAAATCCAACGAAAGAACACAAATAATGATCCTACCTTTAAATTTGATAATACGTCAATTTACTTTAATATTAAGTTAGTAACACAAAATTGAAACTGCTGAATGCATATTTGCCATGTAGTCGTTTGTAAGACGGATACTACACATTATGGCACGACGTCCTCTTAAAACGCCGCTATCGCACTCCACTCGAAAAGATAAGATAAAAGAGGCCACTATACACACGACGACGAAACATCGGTTGGGTGACGACGATTTGTGTTCATATTAGTTCAGGCCTTGCCCGAATCGTGTCTGGAGTTAACCTGTGCAATATTCGTTACCGTCGTCATTACTTGGGTTACGCAGAAATCATCATAGTTGTCGTTGTCGAAAATTATGTTCAAACTCCTCGCGGTCCTATCAGCGGCGCTGCTGTGTGCCCTGGTCCGTGGACAAGAAGATGCAGATGACAAGAAGATGGACGTGTTCCGGTTGCCAGAAAATACGAGCCCCTTGTCGTACGATTTGTGGTTCGCTCCAAACATGAGTGACTTTACGTTCGAAGGCTGTGCCAAAATATTAGTGGCAATTAACACTGGCACCATCTCGGTGACGCTCAACCTCAACAACTTAACGGTGACTAACGTGGAGGCTAAGGACGTCTCGACCAACCGGGACGTGGTGGTTACCGGGTTCGAGTACCAGACCAAAAACGAACAATTCGTAATCAGTTTTCAAAGGGCCGTACCCAATAATAAACAGTTGCTTTTGACCATCAAATACAAAGGGTACATCCGGGATGACAAGAGAGGTCTGTACAGGAGCTCTTATATTGAAGATGGAGTGACAAAGTGAGCACCTACTAATGTTTTTGTCCTTGTTATATTTATACTTCACATTATTATTATATTGACTGTGCACAAATTAAAGATGAAATTTGATTTTTGCGGGAAATACCTGCAAGTGACTTGTCACACAATGACGAATTCTGAAGAGTAGTTTTTTTGTTGACTTACGACTACATTGAGTCTGTCTGCCTAACAGGTGGTTGGCCGTAACGCAATTCGAATCGACGTCTGCGAGGTTAGCATTCCCGTGCTATGACGAACCTATGTACAAGACCAAGTTCAACATAACGGTGGTGAAGCAAAAGGGTCAGACGGCATTGTCCAATATGCCGATTCTAAGAACCGAAGAAGGGTAAGGAAGCTTTAATTATATATCGAATGCGTATTTGATACATGATATTACAATTTATAAATGTCAACACAATCAGTAGGTATATGAACCTTTATTAAATTCAAGACTTATTAAATGGTATTATGTTTTGAATAACAGAAAAAATCTTAATTGGTTTTGTTCTAAAGAACGTGTCAAAAACATGACCCTATTAAATGTGCTTACGTATTTGAATTATTTTTTCGAATTTAATTGGTATACCATAAAAAAATATCCCGAAATGACTAGCATTCTATACGCGATAAACATGAAATACTAATATATTACTTTCAATCAGCTATGAATTATTCAACACAACAATTTAAACACATTTTACTGCAAAAAAAAAGAATTTTTTGATATACTAAGAAGTAGATTTGTTGAAAAAATCACTTTCAAAACATATTTGAAAAACAAAAATGTATAGCACATACGTGTACATACCACAGTATGGCGTCACGGTTATAATTATCTACAAAAAGTAAATGGTCTCAACAATTTAATAAAAAGGTGTGACACCAATAATTATTAAGCGGGGCACTCAATTATTGTTTATTTGCAAGATAGGTATTAGTATTATAGGCTGTATTAAAACTCAAAAGGTACTTGTACGGTTTCCTCTAAAATCGGTTCGGTTTTCAAGTACACTATGATTAATGTATGTATTAAATGAAAAATATCTATCGAGTGCTTATGACCTTATAATAATAATGTGATATTCAATTAATGTCGATTAATATTAGATGTTTAGATGAATGTATTAGTTTTTGCAAGCCGTATACAATAATAAATATACCCATATACAGTGGCGTATACCTATGCTACAATTGAGACAATGAGACATATTATGAATAAAAACAGACATTTAGTGCCGCACCATTAAGGCATTAAGCAAACGAAAATAAAATACCAAACGGTAATCTAATAAAATATAATATAACTATTATAATTTACACTACGTAACCTAACCTATTATTAGAACAATATGTTTTTCAAATTTATAAAGATTTAAAGATTTCTAACACTCGATCCGTGTTCATATGTGATATTTGAGCATGCATATGGAGCTGATATATAGGATAACTCTAAATGCACACGAAAAAATTTTTTTCAAAATTTTAATAATATTTATATATTCAGTACACATCTTAATATTTATAATTTAAACATAATATTGAATGATTAATTTTGGTGTGCGTCTTGTGGTAATATATAATGTTTATAATATATAATGTGATATTACTATATATTAAACAGTAAAATAAACAGCTTATAAATTTCATACTTTTATTTTATTTTAATTATTTTAAAAATTGGAAATTGTAGTCAATGTAGGTAACTATTTTATGACCATTTGTTAAAGCCTTAAATGTAGTGTGTCACCTGTACATCTAGTAGAAGTACAGTTCATAAAAAACAAAAAACATTTTTAAGTTATTTCCATTATTAATCAAACTAATGCCCTGCAGTGCCATTTTATGTAACAAAGTAAAATTAGATATACCATAATGGTTTTGATCACCACTCTCGATGAAAATATTATTTTATTATGTGGCTTATTATTTTACGTAATTATTAAATATTATAACAAGCAACTAATAGTATGGAAAAATGTATACACAAACAAATTAACTGTTAAAATATTCATCCTGGGGTAATAATTAGGTCAAATCAATTTTTAGGTACTCAATACTTTATATTTGCAAATAATTCTGATGAATATAGTGGTACTGGTATATTATCGAGATTACACATAAAGTATTATTAAGTGGTGTTGAATATAATTAAATAATATCAACGACAATCGTGAATTTAGATTAGTATTAAAGCCTTGTAGTTTTGATACGATGTACGCTGTTTAGTTAACCTCAAAAGTTAAAAAGGTTCTTATGTAGCCACAATAATATAAATTGAAGAAAGATGACGTGATATTTACATGTAATATTTGTACTAATACTTATCTGTTTAGAGATTTAGTTAAAATCTATGACATTACAATAAAATATGAATGTGTACAAAAATGTGCATTGTTGGATAAGATTAAATTTAGAGCAATATTATTATTATTATTATTATTATTATCATATTGTGAAATTAATATTATGAACTATAAAGACTTTTGAATTTAATTGTAGCTGTATTTAAAAATAAAAATAAAAATATAATAATTTGAATTTTAGTCCAGAAAACACCACTGTTTACTTCGAAGAAACTCCACCGATGTCCACTTACTTGGCGGCCATTTATGTCGGAGAATTCGTGCCAAACCAAAATGATTCAAAAATAACAATTTACACACACAAAGGAAAGCAGGATCAAACTGAATATGTAGCAACCGAAGCTCCAAAACACCTCAAAGTGCTGGAGGAGTACACTGCCATCAACTACATGCTTCCCAAAATGGATCTGTTGGCGATACCCGATTTCCAAGCCGGAGCGATGGAAAACTGGGGAATGAACACCTACAGGTAAAGTTCAAATGAATCACTGCAGGAGAAGACGCTAATCAGTACGTCTTATTTCTGTAAAAATAACTAAAAAAAAAATCATCGTTTGGTTTTTGATCAGGGAGTCCTTATTGTTGTTGTCAAATGATTCAAAAACGAAAATCAAAATCCGATCGTCAGAAGTTGTGCAACACGAGTTTACACATCAGTGGTTCGGCAACTTGGTCACCTGCAAGTGGTGGGATTATACATGGCTGAACGAGGGTTTCGCAGCATACTTCCAATACTTCGCAACAGGCATGGTAATGTACAATTTATTAATACGTGGCTTATTATAACGTTCGTTTTGTAAATTTTCACAATGCAATGTACAAATTATTTTTGACAATAATTGGTGTAGGTGAGGACCAGTTGGCCGATGGAAGAAATGTTCCTGATCGACGAGGTTCAGAATTCAATGGCATACGATCAGACTCCGAGACATCCCATAACCGCGTCTGTGAATACTCCCCAAGAGATTAACGACATATTTGATGCCATAACGTATAGGAAAGCGGCGTCAGTTCTGAGAATGTTGAGATACATAGTGACCGAAAATCTGTTCAAATTGTCCCTTCAACGTTATTTGAAAGATTTCAGGTGAATAATTATAAATGGTTTACTTTAGCATTTACGTCTTAGGTTAACAAAACATTTAATTTCATATTTATTGTATATTGTATACTGATAATTAACTGCATTTTTTGTAAAAAATAATTGTTGCATTAAATTTTTATAGTCAAAAGGCAGCGACTCCTACGGACCTGTTTTCCGCATTTGACTCTGAGTTATACGATAATAATTATGACATTGGGAATGGATTGACAGTAAACGAATTCATGTCGAATTGGACTTTACAATCGGGATATCCGGTTCTGAATGTTACGAGAAATGCAACTACAAATACATTTTCAGTGACTCAAGTAATCAAACAATGATCATTATATTATATTATTAAAAATATTACAATTTATTTGAATACATAGATGACACATACATTTAATCAATACAAAAATAATAATGTTGTACTTAGACTTAAAATTACTCCGTAAATATGATTACTATAGGTATTCGTTTTTAGAAGATCTTTATAATTATATAATATTATAATTTTTTATTTTATATAGAGTCGATTTTACGTGAATAAGACCGATACAATCATCAACGAGACGGCAACATGGCACATTTGTCTCACGTACACAACCGATGTGAGTAAAAATTTCACTTACAACAGTTCTTCCGTTTGGACGAACAAAGAATCACCGTTGACCGTTTTCGAAGCCCCCAAAGGTATTAATTGGTACCTGTTTAACCCAAAAGCAATCGGTAAGTGTTAACGTGATGCCTTCAGAGCTGAATAATAATCAGTCTCAAACTGATCTGTCAATTTATCAGGATTTTACAGAGTAAACTACGATGTCGACAACTGGATGGCGCTGATCAAGCAGCTGAACGAGACGCCCACCGACATCCATGTGCTCAGCCGAGCTCAGCTGATAGACGACGCGTTCAATTTGGCGAGGTCAGGCCAGTTGGACTATTCAGTGGCATTGCACTTGTCCAAATATCTAAAGTATGAAAACAACACTACACCTTGGTATTCGGCGATGAATGTCTTCTCGTACTTGTTAGAGCGCATGCCCCGTAGCGGCGAAGGATACGAAGACTTCAAGGTATTCACATATATTTTATTCTACTGGATATATAAATTTTGTGCAATGATAATAAACTAGTAGATATGTAATGAGAATTTCAATTTTATTTTGCGCTTAGACTCATGTCAGCAATTTGGCCGGGACCATATACAAGAAGCTAGAAGACCTCGTGTCGAGCGGCAACACTGAGTTTAAAGTGTTGAGTGCTTGGGAAACATTTTCAAGTTGGGCGTGTAGGTTGGAGAACAAATACTGTTTGACGAAAGCACAGGAATACTTCAATAAATGGCAAGCCGGAGAAAAGTCAGTAACCATATTATTATACTATATATACTAGCACCATGACTATCCAAATACCTAACTTAAATAATTGTACTGTACAGAATACCTGCTGATATCAAGGACGCGGCTTTCTGCATCGGAGTGAAGAACAGCAAAGGTCCATCGGTATTTAACAACATGTTAGCGTTGTATAACAGCACGAACTCAATTTCAGAAAAATCTTCAGCTGAGTCTGCTTTAGGATGTTCTACCAACAGGACACAATTGTCTGAGTATGTTATTTACTTAGTGCCATAAATTATTATTACCATTGAGTGACAAATAAGTAACGCTTGAAACTGCCTGTTTTATGTCTCAATGTAGTACTCCGTTTCTATTAACATATTTCGAGTGACGTTTTACATCGATTTATTACTTGTATATACACGCATTAAGTGCCAAATTTACATTTCATACAGCCGACTGTGCATGATTTGTCAATATTTCAGTTTATAGACCAATATTGACCTAAATAATGATAGTAATATTGAAAAATGAGAATAATATCTGTGGTGGTAATTAATTGTTTTATTTCACTTTTATAATGACAAAAAAACTATTGTGAATTTACCATCTGTATATTTACCCGACTTCATTCGGGCTAAAATCAATTCATCTTTATATCGTTTTCCAACTTGAGTCAGTTGAAATATATAATACAAACACTATTACAATAATTCATTTTAAAACTTTTCACTTCTTAATTCTGGACATATTTTTTATGTAAACACAAAAAAATGGAGACAGATTCAACGAATACTTAAAAGCCGACGTAAATCCAATATCGTTAAGATTGGTATCTATTTTTATGCGTCTACATTTAAAATATGTACAAAATAAAGAAAAAAAAATCCTAAAAGTAATTATTGTAGTTGTGTACATAAGTATTAGATTTTAACATTTGTTTTATTCAAAAAATATTTATTTTGTAAAAAATTTTAAATGAGAGTATCTCTACTAATATTTATAAAAAATATGATAGTAATGTAATTTATAATCAATAGAAACCATTTAAATACATAAAAAAATATTCAATTTTCGCCATCTAAAATAAAATTTATATGTGAGCATTCTATACCAACATATTATAGGAGTTCAAGGAAATTATTGATATAGTTTTTATTAAAAACGTTCTAATGGTTTTTGAATCTAAAGAGAGTAAACAAATAAAGAAATATCAAACATTCATATATTTTTATAGGTAAACTGCATTTACAGTAGTTACCTAATTATTTATAATATGGGTGAAGTTATTATGGGTCATTTAAACAAAAATTATATACATTTTAAATATTGACGATAAATAGGTGTTCCAATGACAAATCAATGTGAATTTTCAGATCATGTTGAGTACATTTTAACATTATTGAATTTTAAATATTTTTTAATACCTATGCATTTGAATTTTGAGTGGTTATATTTTTTTTCAGATATATAAATCATATACTAGATGGACCCAACGGACTGATCAAAGGAAAAGACATGAGATCCGTCGTGTCTGCAATATCAGTGACTCCATTGGGTATCGATGTGCTATACGAATTTATGTCAACCAACATAAACATAACTATGGACCAGCTACCTAATGGTGAAGATATAATTACCTTTATATATTCAACCATTGCTTCCAAGATAACAAACGACGATGAAATCGAAAAGGTAAGTCTTAAAAATCATAAAAATCTTATACAATAAACATATTATGCACCGCAAGTAGATTTGAATTAGTTATGTGCAACTCGTTAATGTCATATTATTATTGACGTGAAATATAATCAGGAAATTGTGTATGTAAACGGGTTTTAAATAAATCTAACAAAATAGTCATCTGGTCACTATTAAAAATTTCGTTGTATATGTAATACGTATAAAAGTATTGAGTTCTTACCATGAATTCTTTAGATTTATTTAATGTTCTCTTTTTAACGCGGTTCGAACTACGCGGTGGTCTCAGCAGTTTGTGGACGGATACTACACATTATTAATTAATAAATAATTGGTATAATTAGTATCTCTATTTTTATTGTGTTTCTTGGTTAATAGTTAGTCATATATTGTAAAACAGGTTAATGCATGAACTATAGCCTAATACAGTGAAGATTAAAATCAATAATTATATTTATACATATCGTGTAAAGTGTTTGTCGTTCCCAGACTAATAAGTCACTTGCGACTTTTAAACTGTGAGTCAAATGACGAGAAACAACTAACTATAGCGACTAGTTCGTGTTTGCGGTCAGGTTGATAATGTGTCACTGTGACTCTTCCGCAACCTCCTCTGGTTATAATTAAGCATTCGGGGTACGGAGTCGGTATCGGTTGCCGAGGACTGTGGTTATGAGAAAGATATAGATGTCGGTCAGTGGTAGACGTGAGGATAACAAACTACTGCAATCCGGGAACATATTGATCTGTCCGTGAGCATATTTTGTTTAATATTTAATTATATTTTTAGATAAAAAATTTCAAGAACAATTCCACTCTTCGAGCCTCTGTACGACCTACGTTTGAAAATTCGTACAAAGTGGTCGAATCCAACATGGAATGGTTCAACTGTTATTCTGTTGGCATTAACCAATGGACTTCAGCGTACGGAGAAACAGAAGAGATTGAAACCACTACATTACAGCCAACGACGATCGCTGCAGGAACTTCTGGTAGTACTATTATGAATGTAACGGTTAAAATACCGACCACTACTCCACAACCGTCCAGTGCAACTTTGAACGCGTACAGCAGTCTTGTGATTTTACAACTTACATTCTTTACAGTATTGATAAAAACGTACTTTTTGTAAAATTTAATAATAAGGAAATCCTAATTTATGATTGAATTGTATCAATGTTGTATTAAAAATTACGAAGATAATATTTATAATTATTATAATTATTTTTTAAACCTATAGCTTATAAAAAAATGCTCAGTCAGTACATTATAATGTTAAATAAATGTGATATGTATTGACATATGAAGTTAATTCCTTTGAAAGATTGCAGATTACTCCAATACGCATTTATCGGTTTCTGAACAATTAAGAGACGAAAAGTGGAAAATAAACACTAATATTGTAATAGTGCACAATATAACAGTAAGCTCATATTATAGTGATTACAGAGCAAATATTTTTTGAAAAATTGAACCTGTTCAGGAAATTCCGGAAAATTTAAAAATAGTATCCATTACGGCTTTTCTATTTATTGTTCAATATTTACTATCTGTGCAATACTATGCAAGTAATGGGAAAGTAAATTTGAATTACAAGATTACCTTTTATTTTTTAACTAATTTTATATTTTTATTTATATTGATACTATCGATAGTGCTAAATGAATTCCAATGGTAATCTAAACTAAAAAATAAGCTTCTGTCGTTCTCATTTAGTACTTATTAATGTTACTTATTAATAATAAAGAATTATCATTTTTTTCATTCTATACGGATTTGTAAATAAAATATTAAAACTCACTACGTTTTAGCTCATGTAAGGTCTTCATGCAAAAAGTACCTTGTAGTATACTTGGAACTAACCATAATATTATATTTAAAATTTTAAACTATTAAGTGGATTGGACTGAAAGGGGTGGAAGATATAATATAGGCACCTCATGAATGAGGAAAAAGGTGTTCATCTCATGTTTGGTGAAAAATATTTCAGCGCCCTTAAATATATCTATAACGGGTTGACTATGACTATATAAAGGTGGTTTTATGCGATATGGGAAGATACCTATTATTTACTATTTGTAACTGTGAAATGGTTGGCGGCCGTCCTAGTCTAAATAACTCATATCCGGACAAGGATTAATAGAATGTATAATATTTAGGTAAAATGCTTCATTTTTACACACATATTTATATTTTCACAAAGTGCATTTCAGCACGTAAAAACAAAAACCACTAGTAGTAACGGAGGATTTGCGAGATATTTTTAAGTAAAAACGAAATTTTTAGGAAAAAAAACATTTCATTTCAAATGTACAGCGGAAACTTTAAGCAGAAAGCACTTCCATGTTATCTATTCTTACTGATGCAGGTAAATAAAATAACCGAATTATCGTTACTTGAAAACAAAATGTATTACCTGTACACGACAATGTTTCTTTCATTTCTAAAAGTATAATGCTTTTTCCGTACATAATATATGGAACGCGGATCAATTTCAACTCGTAATTTTCCATGTTCTCAGCGACATCAGTTTTCTTTAACTCTTGGGAAACCACAAGTAAAATAATCGTTATGCTTTACGAGTATACGAGTTCCTGTCTCATGTGGGACCGACCTAAAATATGCAGATGACAGCGTGTATGTCACCTTGGCGATTCGCTCTGTTCACTAAAAACTGTACCTTCAAGCTGGTTTTCATTGTTTACAATTTTGTGCTCAAACGAAATATCCTACATTTTATAAATATATATTAATATGTGCTTAAACGAGTCTCCAATGAGATTTCGATAGTAAAATTCCTGTTGGTATTTATTCTATGAGATGAAAATATAGAAAACACTGATGGATCAGCGGAAGAAGTACAGCTGAGAAATATCGAAAATAGTTCAGTGACACCTACCTAGGTACTGGTCATATAGTATTAACATTTATGAATTTTACATAAGAAGCTAAATTAAAATTACGCTTTCTTTTTAGTGGTGTGCATAAATGCATAATAATAATATGTCATATTTAAGTTGAGTACATTTTGTGTATTGTGTGCATCTTATGATAGAATGTAAAATAAAAAATTCACTAAACACATTTTTTACCATAGTATACGTTGACAGTAGGTAAGTTAATTTTATCTAGTGTTAGTTAAATTGTAATGTATACTTTATGTACGTTGGTAATTAAATAATAATCACACGGCGTTATATGTAGGCTAAATAGGTACACCATGGTCGTGCGGTCGGTTTTCCGGTTCTTCGTATAGTATTCAGTATGATAATACGCAAGGTATTCAATTATATTATTATGATCATACGCAATTACGGATACCAGTATACCACCAGGTACACTGAATAAGCGAGTCAAGTTTACCGTATTTTATAAGTTTATTATGGCTTGTCAAATTAAAAATTGTGTTTGGGTTGAGTGATTTAATATATATTAAGTGAAAATAGTATATCATATTATATTATAATTATATAAAGTGTCAACATATTTTTAGTAATTACTGCAATTTAATAGATGATTGCGGAAACTGATAACGAAATAATTACATTATTTTTGAAAGGTGAATGTAATTTAAATTACATTTTATAGTTATAAAATACTTTTATTGATACATAATATGGTGTATCCAGCATTTATAAATTATACTGAACTTTATCATTTTAACGTATTTATAATAGCTACTACTAGCTTAAAACCACTTTTGGCCGCACTTATAGTCTTTATAAATGTTCCAAAAACTAATAAATTAAGATCGTACGAGGGGATTTGTAGTAAATCAATACTTTCAGAAGCAGCTATATTCCTGATTTATATTGTGTACATTAAAAAAAATGTCCTTGTGCATTCATCAAGTTCTGAAGACATTTTTTTCTGTTGTTTTATAAAAAAAATGCATGATATTTATATCTACAGATTTATTCCATATCAGATGTCTTCTATATTCATAAAAAGTACACAAAGTATTGTCATTAACAATTTACTGATAAGATATTTTCATAGTAAATAAAAACTTTGTTAACCTGTTACGTGTTAAAATTAAACCAATCCGTAACTTCAAGTCAATTATATTGTCAGTTATCGTTGCTAGTTAATTTATGTTCATTATTGCTATTTTAGGACTATTAATTAAAAAATCATTAAAATTAAAATTATACCGTTGAAAATTAGAATGGCATATGTTTGAAAGCATATGAAAAAAAATGTTTTAATTTAAATTTGAGTTATACCTAACATTTAAAATAAGAATAGTAATTTGTTTGAAAGCATATGGGGAAAAATGTTTTTATGATATATTTTTTTAAGTATTGTAATAAATTATTTTCGTTGTAGACTATTACCTGTCCCCATAAAATAGCTTTAAGCTTGTTTTGGATAAGGAAGGGAATGTACAAAATACTTATAAAAAATAAATATATTTAAAATTGAATTTATAATAATAATATATTCTCTCAATTTGTTTATATTGTAATCTTCTATTATTTATTATTATTTTTAAATATATTGATTAAAATTATTTCATAATTTCAGAAATAGTTATACCATGATACAAACAAGTATATCGTCTACTTATTTCAGTTAGGTAGTATAATATTTATGTATTAATTTATGATTCTTCTTCATGAATCGTGATTTTATTATTACCTGCAAGACAGTACCTACCCTTAAAATAAAATATAAGTTGAACACATTCAAAATTGTATGTGTTAGATCGAATTTAGGTATCTGCAGGGCTTTAATGCGAATATTTTACGGGGAAGTGCTAAAAACAACAAACATGGAAGCGAAATCCTAACAAACCCGGTTCAACATAAAGGAATGTTTCCATAAACGTTTACACAATGAGAGTTAGTACACTTAAAAAAAACAATGATTATACCCTGACTTTGTGAAATTTAAAAAAAAAAATAAATTAACCATTTAAAAAATGTAATAATCCATTGTACCGTCCGGAAAGAAAAATACTCGAAAATGTAGGCCATGACGGTATTATTATATTATTGTTGTCACAAAACGTGAACAATATATTAATATGATATTTATGTATTATTACCTATATGTATCGTAACACAATTAGTTCACAATATTGTAAAACGTATTTCGTATTCGTTAAGGTGTTTAATTACACAATGTGGTATATATAATACCTACAGTGGTGGGTTTAAAACCGTCGGCGGGTAGGGGGCCACCATTTGTGAAATTCAAATTCCATTTGCATATATCGGAGAAAGTGCGACGTATTATATTATTATATGTAATAATAATATAATATGTATAAATTATACACGTGTGCACTCGGCTCGTCGAAATTTTGATAAGCCACTGCTATGTTAGGTATATATTATATTATGTTACAGAGGTCCGCCGTACCTTAAATTATCGGCGACGACGTTTCGTTTATGTTTACCCAACATAAACTCATCGATTATAATAATTAATGAGCCACTATAATCAGTGGCGTATTTACGGGGGTGGTCCAGGGGTACTGGACCCCCCCCAGAATCTCTCCAAAAAAAAAAAATGTATTAGATATTTGCAAACCCCGATATTTATGTAAGCCCACGCAGACAAGGTTTTTTCCCGTGAACAAAATATTTATATGAAATATTAGTTTAAAATTAGCCAACGACCGAACGTTCAAAAACCCGTGTAACTAAACTTATCCTTGTATTGTAGTATTACACTTTATAAAATACCCATATTAGATAAACATCAATAATTCTCAAAAAAGTCAAAACATTCTTATCGCAAGAAATTGACGACGCACATCATTCTCCAATAAACTATTTCTATAGGACAGTATAGCTGGTAGCTATTATTTATCTATTTGAATTTTTGCTTTGTAAACACGGCAATTGTCGTAGAATCATTTACTAATATTACTTCATGTTTGTATTTTGTTACAGAACGACGGAGTCGGCTACGAGTGCAGCATGTATTTGAATATTATTTCTTCAATAAAATATATTAGATCTATTACTTATGTAAGTACAAATTAAATATACACCTAGTAAATTATGTAGTAAATAATAATAATAGCTCATTGATCCGATGTGAGCAGTAAAGAATTTATTATTTTTTATAATAACATAAAACATTAATGCAGTGCTGTAACTAGGCTACTTGAGGTCTGTG